ACAAGGATTAGTAGCTTGGAGATCGAGTGAGTGTCAGGTTCATTTGCTTTTTAGGTCAGATTCTCAAGCAGGAGCTAGTGGATGGGAAGACAGAAACAATTCTTTGCTCACTCACAGCCCCATACTTTTGCTGCAGGGCTCCTTCATCATCATTACCACCAGATGTCACAAAAGCCTTCCAATTATCAGGGGCCCAAAAAAATGTTCAGGAAAGCACTATGACTTAGGAATAATAAATAACATTTATTTAGGGCTCACTATGAATACAGTATTAAAATGTTCCTTCCTATCCATGTAATCATCACAATCTCTTTATGAAACGAGTATTGATGAATTTCATCTGTATCCAAAATAAAGTCTCCAGCAGGTTGTGACATTTGGTGGCTGTATTCTTCTGACTTTAGGTTTGTCTTGATACCAGGCATAAGGCAGTTCAACATCAGGCCCTGGCCCTAAACAGCTTACCAGCCAAGAACTGGCAGATTACTACTTTGGTTTCAGTTGGTGGTCAAAAAGGGTTGTTAAGGTAAAGCTTGTAAAATTAATTTGACTAACCACACTCATTATAATCCTAGACTTTAAACAGGATTGAACTGGGTTGTGGGGAGTACATGTAAGAGCCCACCTACTGTTGAGGGTGAGTGGATATATCTGAATTGGCACACCACCTAGAATTAATAATAATAATTTCACACTTCATGGTGGAGCCCATGTGAGGTGTGTAATAAAAAAAAGTTAGCTATACTTAGTAATTTATTTGCAAATCTTACTTGGTATTGAAACTATAGGACACTTCAACTGTTGTGATTCTGGAGTTCAGTTTTTATTTCTCTACATTAAAATTGTAAGGGGGGGGTCAGGGATGTGGGCTCAGTGGTAGTGTGCTTGCCTAGCATGTGTGAGGCCCTGGGGTTGATCCCCAGCACCACAAAAACAAACCAAAACAAAATCTCAGGAAGGATCTTTGATTCAAAATCCTAACAGCTTCAGAGATTTCTGGCATTGAAAAATGGGAAAGTGAAGATCTTGGAGCACCACTTAAGAAGCCAAGCCTGAAGCTCTTCTGCACTGCAGAAGTGGTACTGCCACCCTGTGACTGCAGGAATCCTGGAGTTGGCATCGGGGAGGAGCCTCTGGATGAACTGGAGGAAGGTCTGTTCTCAGTGCAGGGAGGGAAGAGGAAAAGGATCTCTCATTTTTTCCTTTCTAAAACTTACTTTTTAGCTACTTCTTAGGCCTATCTCTTGCTAAGCTACTAGAGTTCTGGGTAGTTTCTGTGCCTTACATCACAGGTTTTCCCTTTAGGCAACACCTGACAGTGTTTCAGTTTCAAATGTGAGAGCAGACTTCCTGCCAAGAAGCTTAGGAGGACAAAGGAAGTAGTGTTTCTCTAATTTTGGTTAAGAACTGAACTTGCCTTATGCTAAAATAGTTGTTCTTTGTAGTCATCAGTTATCTCAGCAAAATCACCATCTATTGATTTCCATAAACTCTTGGGTAAATGTTCAGTTCTTTGCCTACTCATGAAAGGGCTTGAGCAGAAAAAGGCAAGCATGGATACCTAGAAATGGTTGTCTGATTGATACTGAGTTTTTTCTAGAACCCATGGCCCTTGAGCTTTAGGGTTTTAAGTCAGAGGCACGGCTGCTAGCAAATGCAGCAGAGCAGGCTCCAGTGGCTAATGCACAGGTAGGAGCAGAGCATCTGTTCTCCCACCAAACCTCTCTCAGTGTATGTGATGCAAGAAGGCAAGGGTCTGTAGGGGGCAGAGCTTCCACTTGTCAGTTGGAAATCAGTGGCCTTCAGTTTCAATGAGACAATAAAGTTACTGTGAAAAGGTAAATGGGTGAAAATGTGGATATCTAAAACACTCCATATTATGCTTTCATTCACTACATTATTTCAATAACGATGGTCTTGTGACATTTGTGAGAAAAGTGACTGAAAATATTGTCTCTGTTGACCAAACGCCTAATGCTCCTAGTTTGCTTTGAAGAAAGTTGTATTGTGTGTAGATACATGATGCAGTTTCTGCCAATAAAAGTTTCCAATGCTTTCTCTAGAGCTGTGCGCATTGTGTCCAGTGGATTTTTGGTTGGCAAGGAGTACAGAATTGCCCCTTGCTTCTTTGTAAGGTGTCTACTAGTCCAGTGGTCTCTCTAACAGTTTTGAACTCACTTTGCCCCCATCCCGTGTCTTACTATTCAATCTTTGAACATTTTTGAATCCAACTTCCTGTCATTCTTAGTTCTTGTTCCTAAAATTACAAAGTTTTTTGAACCAAACAGAGTTGATATTTCATATGTGTTTTTAAACACGTGTTTATGTTAGAAATTGTAGTGTAAAATGAGGACATTTTTAGGAAAATATTTTCCCTTCCTGCTTTTTGAACTTCAAGGACCATCTCATGCCAGACATGCTGATGTAGGTCTGTAATCTCAGCATGGGGAGGCTGAGGCAAGAGCACTGTGAGTTCAAGATCAGCCTGAGCTACACAATGAGACTCTGTCTCCAAGAAAAAAAAATTAAAATTTAAAAAGAATGACTCATTATTGGGTGCTATCATTATATGCAGGATGTTTAGAACAAGGAAATTTCTCAATTTATTTCAATAGTGGTAAAAGAGCTGAAGAATACAGACCCACTGAAGAGACAGTAGATGCCAGAAGTGAAGAACTGCAGGAGTTAATTCAAGTATGTGGAGAGGAAAGCTCAAGGGTTCCTTAGCCAGTGTAGCCATGATTGAAAACAGCCAACAGGATTTGGAGGATTTGCTCATGTATCATTCTTAGCAAATGGGAAACTCTGAAACTGAATTGAATGCGGGGATTTCTGGGGCTTTTCCTAAATGTCCAGCCTTGAGTCTGAGTTCATGTTTGAGGTATGGAGAGCAGGACTGAGGCCTCTGAGTACTAGTACAGTTTTGGACCCAAGAGAGGAGCTAGGCTCCCTCTGCAGTAGTTTGAGAGGCCAGGATGCTTGAACATAAGTCTTTTTTAGAACTCTTCCCAATCAGGATCCCAGGGATTAGGAACAAAGTAAGAACTTCAGCCTTATGCCATTATGTTACAGATGTGAAAACCACTATGCCTTTCAACTTTGTAGGACTGCCTAAATCTCAGTGTCTCCCCATGTCTCAAGGAGAATATTTTGCCTTCCAACGAAGCTTTCTATAAATCAATTATATGAAAGTCCTTAATCAGGGATTACATAGCCAAGGTAATTTCTAGAAGGAAATAGACGTTACTTACTATGTATAGGATGTTTTAAAAGGGGAGGAGCAAAAAGTGTGTTTCGTGCCAGTGGGAACTTAGGGGTTTTTGATCATTTAATTTACCCTGAAGTTGTGAAGTATTTTGTCTTGAAATGGTGGAGACAGTGTGGTTGCCTTCTTGATATGCAGGTGATATGCAGGAATTTTCAGGTGTTGAGGGTTCTTGGTCCACTCTGAGATAGAAATCAAAGTGGACTCAAGCAGCAAAGTCAGAAAGATTTTTTTGTAGAGAAGGGAAAGGCTGCATGGGGGCATGCAGCGGACCAGGTTGGAAATTGGGTTTTATAGCTTTTTTTTTTTAATTGACCGAGGGCAGAGGTGTCTCTCTGGTGCAAACAGATGTTTCCTGGAAAGGAGAAGTGTCTCCCTGGCTAATTACCACCTTAGGGACCTCCTGCAGTCTGCCCTTCATTCTGAAAAAGTATTGAAGCTTTTCCATGTAAAATAATGATTTTAGTTCAGTTTAAATGAAACCAGTCAAGGACACTTCACACTTTAGGAGGCCTAAGCTTCCTGTGAAATGAGAAAGAAGTTAGCATTGATTGCAGAAATCTGATTAGAACAGATCCGTCCTTAAATGAGGTGACTTTTGGAATCTGTTCCATTTTAAAACCATCAGCATGTGTCCAGCCCTGTGCAAGTCAAGAGGAATAAACAGGATGAAGCCTGTTCTGGGACTTTACATGCTAGGCTGTAGTGGATAATAAACATACAGTAAAATAGGTTATTGTAAGAAGGGCTCTGAAGGAAGTCAATGCCTGTCCACATGTGCACGGGGTAGACCTCTGAGACGTTGTGATGTCACAGCTAGATTCTCGCTGTGTTGAGCCAAGACGGGGTGGGGATGCCTCCCCAGGCCAATGTAAAGGGCCATCTCAGATTCTAACCCTCTGTGTCAGGCCCAGGACCCCTCCTGCAGACCCCTCCTGATGCTCTGGTAGCCCCAGGTAAGGGAGTGGTGAATCATGAACCATGGAACTGGGAGTTTAGAGGAAATGGCAGCATTGTCTAGTAAATAACTGTAATGTACACTCTTTTGCCTGCACCCTAATTAGCCCTGGTTTGCAGGTGAGTTGCTTTTCTTATAGAAGCAGTTCAGCCAGGGGGAGAAGACTATCTCTGGGTGTCAGCTTGGAAGAGGAGAAGCTGCCAGAACTGGACTAGCCCTGGAATATCCCCAAGCCCCACTCTGTCACACCATACCCAATGGGTTGCTGCCCCTAGGTCTGAGCTCCAACCCCACCTCGCTGGGGGAGGGGCCCTGTACAAGGCTTTTGTGGCCTCCTCTAAGGGAATGGAGTTTGGGTCCTGTCTCTGTGGGAAAAGGCTCTTCACTGCAGGGCATGGAGCCCAACTGGGCTGAGTCTTACAAAATGTTCTGTTTCCTAAACAAACGTGTCATAAAGAAAGGGTGGGGCCGGGCAGGCACTGATGACAAGGTAACTAGGGAAGAAGCTGCCAGAGGCTTTACTCCCTTGACTGTAGCTTAGTCTACTACCTGTCCCTGTTGCATGTCATGTCTATACTAGGTATTTGGGCCCAAGGCTCCTTTTTATGTCGCTAGAGTTGTGGTTGTTGGTCCAGGATTTCCCATTCCGAGTAGGACCCAGGACTCGGTCCAGCTGACCTCCGAAGCACCTGGGCCAACTGAGCCCTGGTCCTCACACTCCTTGGACGGCCTTCCTGACATGCAGCAGATGTTTACACCCCAGAAGACCAGGGGGACTTTGATCATCTAGGGTCATCTGCTCCCTCGCAGGTGTTTGCCCCACCTCATTTATTGACTGACAGTTTGCTTCAGTTCCTAGACCGGGATTCTGGGAGGCAGCCATCTCCAGAGCCAGATCCATTTGCTGTTGCACATCAGGAGGTGAGTGACGAGCTAAACCTGCCTGAGACCCCCAGAAGCGGTGCCGATGCCCAATAGGGAACAGAATCAGGGCCCCGTGTTAGGGTATGAGGCTGGCCACCTTCTGAGAGGACAAAGGACACTCGAGACAAAGGAAGTCACAAGGCGAGGTTTATTTCTAGCTAGCTAGGGTCCGAGCATCGCCTGACGCAGCAGGTTTCAACAAGGACCCTGAGAGCAAAGTTTAAGCAGGTCTTATACTCTTTAAAGCATCAATAATCGTCACATAGGAATTCCTCATGCCCCTGGGGTCACATTTTCCTGTTCTTGCCCACATCCTGGTGGTGGGGTAATATTATTTATTGGGAACTGGGGAAACACCAGAGGTTTACTTATCAGGTTACAAGGAATGCGTTCTCCCATAAATTAGGGGCTAGTAGTGGAATAGAAACCTAAGGTTTAGATAAGAACAGCAGGGAGTCCTGTTTTGGAAAGTTTATTTACAAGTGGAGACAAAGAAAGGCAGGAATGGGTGCTTATCTCTGCATGGTGCCTTTCATCTCAGTCCCGAACTTTTGCATGGCTCTAATGGGCAATTCCTCACAGCTCTGTCCGAGGTTACAGCTTTTAATTGACAGTTTACCATGTTCTACAACCCTGTTTCAAGGCTATCTTCCTCTTCACGAGGTTACCCAAGGGTCATGCCAGTTATAGCTGAATTTTAGGCTAGGTGGGCTGCAAGTTAAAGTACCCCAACAATTTCACAGTGAGTTGCTTTTCTTATAGAAGCAGTTCAGCCAGGGGGAGAAGACTATCTCTGGGTGTCAGCTTGGAAGAGGAGAAGCTGCCAGAACTGGACTAGCCCTGAGAATATCCCCAGAGGCCCCACTGTCACACCATACCCAATGGGTTGCTGCCCCTAGGTCTGAGCTCCAACCCCACCTCACTGTGGGGGAGGGGCCCTGTACAAGGCTTTTGCGCCTCCTCTAGGGGAATGGAGTTTGGGTCCTGTCTCTGTGGGAAAAGGCTCTTCACTGCAGGGCATGGAGCCCAACTGGGCTGAGTCTTACAAAATGTTCTGTTTCCTAAACAAAAAGGTTATAAAGAAAGGGTGGGGCCGGGCAGGCACTGTTGCCAAGGTGAGCTAGGGAAAAAGCTGCCAGAGGCTTTACTCCCTTGACTCTCGTTTAGTCTATTACATGTCCATGTTGCATGTCATGCCCCCTCTAATGATTTGGGCCCCAAGGCTCCTTTTTATGTCGCTAGAGTTGTGGTTGTTGGTCCAGGGATTTCCCATTCCGAGTAGGACCCAGGACTTGGTCCAGCTGACCTCCAAAGCACCTGGGCCAACTGAGCCCTGGTCCATACACTCCTTGGACCGCCTTCCTGGCTTGCAGCAGATGTTCACACCCCCGGCCGACCTGGGGGGGCTTTGATTACCTGGGGTCATCTGCTCCCTCACAGGTGTTTGCCCCACCTCATTTATTGACTGACAGTTTGCTTCAGTTCCTAGATCGGGATTCTGGTAGGCAGCCGTCTCCAGAGCCAGATCCATTTGCTGCTGCACATCAGGAGCTGAGTGACGAGCTAAACCCAGAAGCGGTGCCGATGCCCAATAGGGAACAGAATCAGGGCCCCACTCTGCCTCCTCCACTTCAAAGTAAGACTCAGACTGTCAGCTTAGATCAGGCTTCAGAGAGCCAAACATTTGATATACCTGTTCCACCTCTTGATCGTCAGATTTCAAAAGTAGCAAAGTTTATTGTTTCACGCTGGAAACTGAAGAAGGATGCTGCTCAACATCAGAGACTTGATGAGACTGTGGCTGGAACTCCACACCAATTTGCAAACCTTCAGCCAGTTCCAGCTCCAGAGGTGACAGTTCAACCTCCAGCTCAGGATCAAGCTGAACAGGATACCTCGCCCAGCGTTACGGGTAAGCCTGTGGATGTGGAAATCACCATAAGTCCAGAGCCTACCCGGGAGGCTGCATCTTCTCCAACTCAGCCTTCAGAGTTTGCTGAAGGGGCAGAACCTTCTCTCAGTGAGAAGGAACAAGCAGCTGAGCCATCTGTGTCTCCTGGGGAGGTTCAGCCTTCTGGAATTCACATGACTGCTCCAGCCCAGGCCTCAGAGCATGCTGAGGAGTCTGAACCTCCTCCACCCCAGCAGGAACAACTGGCTCAGTCCTCAGTGTCCTCCGAACAGTCTGAAGCTTTGAAAACCCAGCATGAGATTATAACTCAGAAGCCAGAACCCTTAGAAAAGGATGAACTTTCTCCAGTCAGTCAAGGGGCTACAGCTCAGCCAGAAGAGCTTCCTGAGGAACCTTCTCCAAGCCAGCAGGAGAGCTCAGTTCCTCCTGTAATGCCCCTGTGAATACTGAACTTTCACCAATTCAGCCACAACTCCCAACTCAGTCTCCAGAATCCTCTGAGGAGGTTAGTGATCTTCCTCCATTAGGAGATAGCATATCATTTTCACCTCAAGATCTAGAAATAATGTTTAGAAAGCAGCATCCAAATTTGCAAGAAACCACAGTTAACCATGTGGATGAGATTACTGTGACTCCACAGACCACTGTGGAGTTTGAACCCATTCCAGTCCAGCAGGACACCCAAAACCCTACAGATGCCACTGAACAACTTGAATTTTCTCCGACCCAGTCTAGTTCCCCTTCCCAGACTCTAAAATTCCTGGAAAATATCGAATCTTTTCCAGGCCAGCCAGAGCCCATAGCTCTGCCTTCTCCAGCCCAGCCACATCCCATGGTTCAGACTTCTCCAGGCCAGCCACAGCCCACAGCTCAACCTCCAGTGCCTTATGAGATGACAGTTCCATTACTAAGTCAGGATGAATCTCAGTATTCAATGTCCAGTGTCACAATTCAACCTTTGGATCTGGAGCTCCCCATAACCTCCAAACCCACTACAAAGGTTAAAAATTCTCCACCTGTGAAGAAGACTAGAACTCCTCCTCCAAAGCCCCATCAAGTGACACTTCCACATCCAGTCCAGGTACAGGCTCAGCATCCAGGTCTGACTGAAGGCACAATTCAACCTGTGGATCTCCAACTTAGCATAACTGTACAACCTATTACTGAAGATGAGCCTTCTCCAGCCATGCAAGAGACCCCAGTTCAGCTTACAGAGCCCCCTATGGAGGTTGTACCTCAATTCCCAGTACAACAGGAGATGACAGTTCCGATACCAGGTCAGGATGAAGTTCAGTACCCAACATCACCCAGTGTCACATTTCAACCTTCAGACCTGGAATTAACCATAACTACAGAAACCACCACAGGAGCTGACCTTTCTCCCGTCGTGCAGGAGACCTCAACTCAGCCTCCAAAGCCAGCTGCAGAGACTAAAATTCAGCCTTCAACATCAGGTCAAGATCAGGCTCAGCGTCCAACGTTGGCAGTTACAGAGGCAAATAACACCACAACTCCTCCTCCACAGCACCCTGAGGTGACACCTCCACATTCAGAACAGCTTCAGTCTGGTCTGGAACGTACCACTATTGCACATTCTGTAAATCCCACCACAGAAAGTGCTCTAACTGTGCAAACGGAACCGAATGCCACCCCGTACACCAACATATGTGAGCTCTGTACCTGTCGAGATGAGTCACTGTTGTGTGTTGGTCTCAGCCCAACGCAGAAGCTCCACCGAGTGCCTGTGCCGAAGCCCAACACCTACAAGAAGGTCCTCACCACCCTGTAAGATCCACCTTTCCTCCCTTGTGCTCTGCACTCTGCCTGCATGGCAGCCTTTTCCTCAAGGTCTTCTGGGCCTTCCTCATCTCCCCAACCCACACGGACTGTCTGCTTTTACCTTTTGCTTATCAACTTTTCCTTGTCGGCATTCTCCTTCTACCATGGTTCCCTTCCCTGTTCTTTAACTCACATTGCCCTTTCTCTTTTTCCTTATCCACTTTTATTCAGCTGCTTCATATCATTGCTTAAACTTTGCTCTCCCGGTTTTGGTCCACCCTCTTTACAACTCATTTCATTAGTGAGGAGTGAGGATACAACAAAGTGATTAAGAATACATCTGGAACTAGACTACCTGGGTTTCATTTATTAACTTTGTAAGCCTGAGGAAATTATTTAGCTCTGTGACTCAGTTTCCTCATCTGTGAGATGGGAATTATGATGATTACCATTTCATAGGATTGTTGTATGATTTAGATGAATGAGTGCATGTAATACTTACCTGAATACCTAGCACATATATGAATGTTAACTATTAATAGTAATATTCAGTCCCTCAGTTATGTCCAAAACTCATCTTTGTCCTTAGATTTTCTATATATTGTGTCCATTTTGTGCCCAACCCAGGTCTAAGTTTTGTGGGAGTCACAGAATTATGGCATTGTCTCTGGAACATGAAAATGATAGATGTAAAGAAAGGAAAAAAAGGCAAAAAAGCGGAGATGGTGTATAATGAAATGCTAAAAGAGAATCAGATACTAGCAGCTGTAATTCTTCAGAATCTGTAATCGCTGAGTTGTGGAGGTTATGGAAAAGTGTAGGATAAACTGAAACGTTACCTGGAGCTTAGAGAGTAATTGTTAAATAGACAAAAAACATCCTAGGCAAAGGCGTAGCTGCAGCAGTAATCAGGCTTTAGTAGAACAGCCTGCCTGCAAAGAATTGGGTTAGGAAGCAATGAAAGATATTATAAAAGACCTTGAATATGAACTGTAGGGGTTTGAAAGTTACAGTGAAATGTGGAGAGTCACTAAATGTTTCCAAGGAAGAGCGGCAAATGATTAAAGCAGGCGGATTTGTTGTTTGGTTTGATTTTGGAGATAAAGTCTTGCTATATATAGTCGAGGCTGTCCTGGAACTTGTTAAGTAGCTCAGGCTGGCCTTGAACTCACTCTCCTCCTACCTCAGCCTCCCAAGCACTGTAAACAAACCATGATTCAAGAGAATTATTTTACAATCCCTACTTAGGGTGATCTAGAGGGGAAAGGTTAATTCAAAGAGACTACCTAGAAATTGCTAGCAAAGTGGAGAGGTTAAGTACGAGGGGAGTAAGTCAGAGTTTGTGATGAGAATAGACAGAAAATCCTGGGATTCCCTACATAGAAAGTGCACAGAGGATTTAGTGACTGATGAAAGAGTTGGGGCTCGGACTAAAGAGTTGAGAAAAATCAAACATGACTCCATAGTTTCTGTCCTGTTAGGATATGGATACCATGTGGAAACACAGCATTCCAGAAGGAGAGCCAGTTGGAGGGAATTGAGTTCAGTTTTAGGTCCTTTTACTGGTAAGAAATTAGAAAGCTTGTGGTTGAGTGGAAATGTCCACTAGGCAGATGAGCTGGCTTCTTCTCTCCACCTCCAGAGAAAGTGTATGTAAACTGAATAGGAGAGTGTTGCTGAGGGGTAAGGACAGAATTAAAGGTAAATGTTCAGAGGTATCCAGAGTGAAACTGAACATAAGGTATTGAATAGCTTCTTTTTGGCAGAGGCTGGGGTTTGAACTCAGGGCTTCATGTGTGCAAAGCAGGCGCTCTACTGCTTGAGCCACATCTTCAGTCCATTTTACTCTTTTTATTTTGGTGATGGGGTCTCATGAACTATTTGCCTGGGTTGGCTTTGAAACCATGATCCTCCTGATCTCAGCTTCCCAAGTAGCTAGCATTAAAGGCATGAGCCACTGGAGCCTGGTTTAACAGCTTCTTTTAATCATGTGTTACCCGAGGATACATTCCCACTTTTAAAAAAAGTCTCAGAAGCTGGTGTAGTGGCTCACATGTTTAATCCCGCCACTCCAGAGGCTGAAATAGGAGAGTCTGAACTTGGAGGCCAGTCTTGACTACATAGCAAGACTGTCTCCAAAATACAAATGGTCAGGGATGTAGCTCCGTGGTAGAGCACTTGCCTAGCATTTTCAGATTGCCTGTGTTCAATCCCCAGCACCTCCAAGGGTCAAAGAAGTATATAGGAAAAATATGAAAGTATGCAGCCCCTCTCATACCACTCTTCCATGCCTACCGCCCATAAGATAACCCCTGTTATACACCCCTGTGTGTCCTTCCTTCTTCTTTCTCTCCTTTGCAGTTTCTCCCTAATGAGGTAATACTTCCATTCTTTCTCAGATTTGTGCTTTCCCTTATTCAGCAGAGCGCTTTCCACATCATCACATGAATTTCCCTCATTTCTACTTGTCCTCACCCTTCAGGGTTGCACTTCCTTCTTTCTATGTGCTCAACCTTCCTAAGATCATTTAGGCAAAGCTTTGGTGTTACCTGGCAGAGTTTCTTTATTCTTACTTGCTAATAATGATAAAAATTATTGCCCATTGTCCTGTGGAATTATGTATCCTTTTCTCACTGATTGGTAGGAGTCATGCTCATTATTTTCCTACTTATTCAAGGTTATAAACTGTTTCTTCACAGAAATTTCCATGGAAACGCTATTGATTACATTGACAAAAATACATGGAAAGCCTATCGTTGGACTGAGAAACTGTGAGTATTTTCTTTCCAAATATGAATACAAAAACTGCATTGTAAGAGCCTCCTTGGTTCAGAATTTTGAGGTCAGTATCTCTGAGCAAATGTATTTCCCCTCCACATCCTACATTGACCTCTATTGATGGAAATTATGTAGTTATTTTAAACATCAAATTTTATAGGGACTGGGGGTTATAGCTCAGTGGTAGAGCACTTGTCTTTCATGTTAGCCAAAATGAAAATAAAATACAAACTTTCATGGTTCCTCTTTGAAATAAGAAACAATTTAAATTGATTTTCCATTGTACAAGTAATACAAATGAAATAACAGGTACAGTGAAAACCCTCCTTCTCATAATCCCCCACTATTGAGGTAATGACTACTCTGAATTTGCTACCTATCCTTCCATATCTTTTCCCATGCATATATACATATTTACACACAGCAGATTATTTTGTGTGATTTTCATATCTCTTTTTACATAAATGCTAACATCCTGCCTCTTGAGTCTTTCTCTTCACTATGTCATGTCTCTTTCCTTCCCTGTACATAGAAGTTTCCCTATTAATTTAAACTCCTGCACAATATTCCATAGTACGGACACATCATAGTTCATTTCATAATCCCTTATTTTTTTTAGAGCACGTCAGGTTCTCCTGTTGCACTCATAGCTACAGTGAACAACCCTGTACATACTTCTTTGTGAGCATGGACAAGTATTGCTGTACAATAGGGATCTAGGAATGGGATGGTTAAGGTGAAGACTATTATAGACAGGGAATTTTAATTGCCCTCCAAAAAGTGGTGCCAACTTACACACCAGGGAACAGAATATGACAGTACCCATTTCCCCATACCTTTCATCACTCGATACTCTCTCTCTTTTTGATGAATTTTGATCCAGCGATAACCTTTCATCTTCCAGAATTCTCAGTGAAAATCGCCTGACTGAATTACGTAAGGATTCATTTGAAGGCCTGCTGTCCCTCGAGTATTTGTAAGTTAGTCAGTTGATCATATTTATTTGTGAGTTACTATCTATGAAATGTATAAAGGGTTCAAATGAGATAATTTCTGAAATCTCCAGCAAAAAAAATTCTGCACTTGTGTAAGTCTGTGTGGGTCTCAGACTATCTCTGGCATTAAATACTCCCTATACATTTTTAGATTTCTAAAAATTATATAGATAAGAGAGATGTAAAAACAAAATACTCCACTTACAGCAGAAAACGGGTAATAAGGCCTGAGCAATTATGGTGCTCATATGAACCTTATTTTATAAGTGTTCCTATGCCATATACTTCTTGTATTTATATTTAGTCTACAGCCCATGGGTCAAATCTAATCCACATGCTTTTGTGTAGCTCATAAGTTAAGAATTGGGTTTTTTGTTGTTGTTGTTTTCTTTTTACATTTTTAAGGAGCTTATCTGAGTCACTTTTTTGGTCACTGTAACCAAATGCCTGGTAAAGGAGCAAAGACACATTTTGGCTCAGTTGAGCGGTTTCGGTCTGTACCTGCACTCTCCATTGTTTCGGGGCCTCTGGGAGGCAAAGGTGTGGAGGACAAGGCTGCTAACCTCACGGCAGCCAGGAAGCAGCAAGAGAGAAGAAAGAGGGTCTTGGTCAAAGGCATGCTCCTAGCGACCTGCGCCTTCCACCTTAGCCTCACTTTCTAATCGCTCATTCAGCTGTGAGCTTCTCAGTGGGTGAATCCATCAATGAAGTCAGTGTCCTGATGATTCAGTCACCTCTCACACCACCTGTTGGTGACCAAGTCTTTAACATGTGAGCCATTTGGGGGGGCACTTCATATCCAAACTTAGAAGGGTTATAAAAAAAAAAAGAAGAAGAGAACTCAGGACCGTGCACTTATAGACAGGAACTCCACCACTTGAGCATGACTCTAGCCCTTGTTATACCCATAATAAAAGTATCCCTCAAGATCTACAGTGAATGTTTTATTTATGAAAATCACGAAGGTGAGATTCTTAGGTGGGAGCAGGATTAGGGGGCTCTAGAAAGTTCAAATACAAATCCAAAGTTTAGAGTTTAGAAAAAATTATGTTTCAATATTATTGAGTCTAAATTCTATCTATTCATGCTAATTAGATACCTAATAGCTAATCAATGCAATGTTTTCTTTTACTTTTCCTAGAGATTTATCCTGCAATAAAATACAGTATATTGAAAGACGGACATTTGAATCACTACCTTTTTTGAAATTCGTGTAAGTTACTTCATTATGCCTGGAATCTTGCTACTCATTTTGAAAGATAATTAAAATTTTGCTAGTAGAAAGTTACTAAAATTAATTAGCAGGTTCTTTAGTCTGCACCAAAGATGACAGTGAGAATCATTACAGGTCAGAGTGAAACAGTCCAGAGCAGTGCTTCTCCATCAGTGTGACTTTACCCCCAGGTGACACCTGGCAGCTGTGGATATGCTATTGGCACCTAGTGGGCAGACAATAGGGATGCTACTGAATATCCTGCAATGGACACAGAATTGTCCATAAATGACAAATGTCAAAGAAATGTCCAAAATGTCAATAGCACTGAAGTTGTGAAACCCTGTTGTAGAGAAATAAAGATCACTTAACACAAGTAATCATTGAGCATTCACTCTTTTGTATCTAATGCACTGCATTTGTAAATGTTAAAGTATAAATCATAAGCCAGTATCATCCATAGTGAGATTCCTTTAAGGTATGTGAAAAGTATTGATGTTATAATTCATCATATGTAAGTTAGAGTCACTGCCAATGATAAGTGTTCTGAAAGAATATCTTTTTCCTCTCCTTCTTTGGCTTTTTTTTTTTTTTTTGTAGAAATCTTGGTTGCAATTTAATCACTGAATTGAACTTCGGAACATTTCAAGCATGGCATGGAATGCAGTTTTTACACCAAGTGTAAGTGGAATAGAAGACAAACATGTTTCAAACTTATTTGTGTCTTAAAAAAAAAACAACTGATAACATTACTGTTAGCTAGGTGTAAGCCCTGTACAAATTCTGTGAATAGTACGTCTTGATGCATTCCATTTTTTCAAATAAGGAAACTAACGTACAACAGGTAAGAGCCTTGTGTGACTTATATATGACATGCTCTGCTTTCCCTAGTACTGATCTTTGGCAGGGGCACTGGAGACATCATGCAAGTAACACTCAAATTGGCACAGTCATGGTCCCCCAGTGGTGCCGCTCTGATGTGTGAATGGTCCTTGAAGTTTCACTCACAAGCTGAACACTGATTCCTTCTCACATGCAGAGTTCCTAACTGCTTAAATGTTTGCAATGTATAGCTGCTTACAGAGCGCCAAGTTTAACACAGAATCCTCCAGCAAGCAAATGGGGTGGGTGCTTTCTCAATGTCAGTTTCTTCTAAATGACAAATCAAAAGAATTCTAAAAACCTGCCATAGGGCACCTCTCCCCTCAGAACATTATTTTTCAAGAAAAAGATGGTGCTGGCAGAGTGGCTCATATAATAAGAGCACCTGCCTAGCAAGTGTGAGGCCCTGAGTTCAAACCCTGGTCCCACCAAAAAAGAAAGAAAAAGATGGTGTTTGTATTAAGCTTTATGGTGAAAAATATTAATAGGAATATACACTGCTCTAGCCTGACTCCATATACCTTTTTTTTCCTTACTACCTTCAACAAGAAATGTGGAGTTTAATATCTTTTCAGCTCAAAAATTCTATGATGTGCTGGGTGCCATAACCCATGCCTGTAATCCTAGCTACTCACAAGCATAAATGGGATGATCACACTACAGTTCATGCCTGGGCATAAACATGAGACCTCATTGGAAAAATAACTAAAGTAAAAAGGGTTGGGGATGTGGCTCAAGTAGTAGAGCACCTGCCTAGCAAGCACAAGGCCCTGAGTTCAATCCCCACTACCAAAAAAATAATAACAGTAAAAGTTTAAAAACTCTATGCTGTTCACAAGCACACGTTTGTAATCCCAGCACTTGTGAGGCCTAGGCAGAAGGATCTCAAGTTCAAGGCTACCCTGGACTACATAGGAAGACCCTGTTTAAAAAAACAAAAAAAAACAAAATAAAATAAAACCTGTGATGTTGAAGAGCCTGAAGGTCATCTGAGACTCCAGATGGACAGCTTTTACCTTGAGTCTCCAAACCCAACTTTGGGAAAGGTCATCCACCTGCCTCGTGCATCAGAAATCCAGGTTCCCAAGTTCCCTTCTGGTTGGAGGGAGGGTTGAGATTTGCCTGGAGGTGGATTAACTGCTCTTACAGATGGTCCTGTGTAGCAGCCTCCTTTATCCCTTCACTAATTTGCTGATGCCTATTTGGGGAAAGAACCCTAGGGGGTCTTTGCTTTCCAGTCAAAGTAGGGATGGGTATTCTGTTAGTTAAGACTCATAAAGGAGGATGCACCAACTTGTTATTTCTAGTTACTGTGTTACTTCAGAGGAAAAGACATTTGTTTCCTGGTGATGAGAAAACCAGAAGACATAGCACATGGCTCAAATAGTACAGTGACTGCTTACCAAGCACAAGGCCCTGAGTTCAAATCCCAGTGTTGACTGGTATTAGATTTACCCCTGGGTGCCAGGTAATTACAACCCAGTAAATCTCTTGAGTAAAGCCTCCATGTTACTGAAAAACAATAACCCAACAAGTTAGCAACATGTTAGGGCCCAAATCCACCATAAAGGGGAGCCAAAAGCTCATTAGCAAACCACCATTCTTCGAATGGTCATAGTAATCCTATCTCTGTTTCAGATGAAATCAGGAATGAAACACAGAACACCAGTAGTGGTTAAGTGTAATTTTCCCCCAACTTTAAGGTGCTTCTCCTTCATTCTCCTACACAGGTCCAGACTGATAGCTTAGTTTTTAAAATTCTTTTAGTTGCTTCATTGGTTCTGACAACACAAGTGCCACTATTTTAGAAACTGAAGGATTCTACCAAGTAGAAAGGATATACCTTATTTGGATAGAGCATTTTCACAGGGCTTGTCTGCCTCTTCAGAATTGTGCCAAAAATGCAAAGCACTAAGAGAGACAAAGAGGGAAATCCAGGCTTTATTCCTGTTGAACTACTTGTTCCACTATGGAGAATATCCACAAGCAGGAGCGGCCACACTACGAAGGCAAACTGAGCTGCAGTCTCACAAACACCCTGTTGCTTCCTCCCAGACCGCTAGCATTGCTTCCTACAGATAGCTTAGGTGCCTAAAAATTGGCACGCTTCAGGCTGCGGTCATCGCTTTTGATTTGTACTGGAATCCCGGCAGCTTCTCAGGTTGAGAGAGGGCAAATCACTAAAGATGAAAATAACAGCTCGGGTCTGTCCTTTGGGATGATTTAGGTTGGTTGCTTAATTTGTAAATGTTCAAAAGTTTTGAATAATCAATTGTTCCAGATAAGGTATCCAAATAAGGAATATCCTTTCCCCCGGCAGACCCTTCAGTTTCTAAAGTCACGGAGCTTGTTGTTACACAAACATACATAAGTGGCATGGGGCATTACCTGTCTTCTGGCTACTTCCTGCTGGCTAGGGGCAATGTGGGGGGTTATTGAGTCTGGAAAGTTTGTAGAAGCATGATGGCCTTGAACTGCTCCCCTGAGATAGCCCGAGAAATGGCAGTAATACATTCCTGTAACAGTTTTTGGAGGGTACTAATGAGGCATGGTAGGAACATTACAGCCAGACAAACAAGAATGAGAGAGGGACCACCAGGAGGATGAGCCATGGGTACAAGGAGGAAAGAATATTAGTAGGCTGTACGGATGTTAGCTGTTGTGCTCTGTCCCTGAGTTTTTTTTTTTTTTATCCTGTCCTTAACTATGCCAGACTTAGTGGTGAAGAAACAACAATCCTCATTTAGGAAGAGGCATAGCCTGCCTTTTTCAGCTGTGAGGAGATCTAATCCCCTCCTGTTTTGAAGGCAAGGTCACAATGGGAAAAATAAGGAGTCCCAGTAGAGGGAAGACCCGTGGCATCCACTTAGCCCAGGAAGACCACTGTTCCCAGCTGTCTGTTGTTCACTGTTGGAGATTGGCATTGAGTTCCTGACGTAAAAGCAGCATCCTTTGTGCGTGGTCTGAGTGGCAGCCTGTCTAAAGAAATGTACCCTTTGGGAGACGAAGTGAGCCTTGACACATGGGCCAGCTATCAGCATGAGAAGGAAAACCAAGGGACCTTGGGGTACAGACCTTGGCTATAAGTTTAAGTAGGCAAAGGAACTGGGGGCAGGGGACAAAGGTATATATAGTAAACGGTTCCAGTCACAGGTGTGGCCTGGTTGGTCATTACCTCAGTCTTTGTTTTGGGAGAGGTTCCAGAGTTGTTATCTGGAGGGTAGAAGCAGTTTAGGTCTAAAACTAGAAACACCTGCTTCGAATGCAGAGGAAGTAAAAGTCAGAATGCTCCCAGTTAAATAGACTGCCTAAGGGAAGATAACTCCATGAGCATGGGCTACTAAAAAGATAAGTTTGGAGCCAGCAAAAATAATGTCTTTTTACCTAAAATGAAGGCCTTGGCCAAAAATATGAGTTTGCCTTCTGTCAGAGGTGCTGCAAAGGCTTGAGTGACCAGTAGCCCTGCATAAGATCTTTAAAACCTCTCAGCTTCAATAACTTTTGTGAGGTCTGGCACAGGGGAGTCCATCCGGATTGTGAAGCTTTTCCCTCTCGTCTCCAAACTCTCTCTGAAGAGAGTTAATTAATCTCTCTGAAGATTTTGTTAATTAACCATCTGGTTAATGAGAGTCACTTGGTGCAGGAATACCTTCTCCTGGATGTTCTCGGCATTGGAGGGGAAGCTTCAGGCAGGTCAGGTGGGAATCAGTGCCAGATAAGACCCATTTGCCCAAACAATAAGAAACAAAAGAGGTTTAGAAGAAATGGGCCTACCTGGCATTCATTTTTAGTTCTGCTTGGACTATAGATGTTATCCTGACAACTTAAAAATGCTGCAGAATGTTAACAGACAATAGTTAAAGATTTTGAAAAAAAAAAGCCAGCAAAAGTAAATATCTAGAAGGCTGACTCAATTGAAAAATAGGTACTAGGTAGAGTTATTTTGGGTTGGATTGCAAATGCTCCAAAGAGGGACCCAGACTGAGAATGACAAGACTTAGAATAGCCATAGTTAAAATGCTGAAAAATAGTTTGGGAATTGTCAGAACATTTAGTTATCTCCTTTGTGGACCACATTTTTAGGAAAATAATTATGACTGATAGTATAAAAACATCAG